ATGACTGAAGAATGACTGAAGCTGATATTTTTTGTTTGTGTAAAACCTACGGCAAAGTTTCAAAAGTTTGGGATTTGTCCAAAACGGTGAACTCGAGTGAGCAGTAAGCTTACGTTTTTACCGCTTGGTTTGCTATTTATCTGATTATGAGGAACAATTCGTCTATTTTGATTTAATGAAAAATGTCGTCTAGTAATTTTAGATGATTGAAAACTCGTAAAAACTTCGTTAAACCTGTAAATGCACTCGACAAATCATCAATATTGCATAAGCTTATTTTACAACTGTTGGGTGTTTACTGAATCCAATGTGACTGAGATCAACAAACATGTTCAAAATACTGTATACTTGTACTTCGAAATTGTAATAAAGCTTCTTTCAGTTTTTAACTGGATTTGATTGTTAATTTAACCATAATAACCAATGTTTTTAGTATCTGTTTCTGTGTGAACTTTGAAGACCTCGAAAAGTTTCCGTATTTTAAAAATCTTAAATTTGTTTTTGTTTATTTACATTTTGCCAATGTGTTTCCTTTTCCTTTTTTAAAGAAAGTTAATTTATTCTTAACTTTTATTTACGCCTCGAGAAACACACGACTGTTTTCCGAAAGGTATCTAAGTCTTTACGAAAAAAAACGATAGGGAGGGATAGACACACATGCTGGTGCACACATCGGTCCACGGCGAGTAAATGCTTAATTTTCATTTTCTCGTCATGTAATAAACATTTCACGCTGAAAATCGTGAGACAGTTAGGGAATCTGGCGATGTGTAGTAATTTGAAAGAAAATCCTCGATTTCTGCTGATTTTCAATGAAATAGGAGCGAAATTATATTTATCACGTGACCAGTGTTTCATACCTTGTCACAGACGAGGCGCGGGATCGTGACGTAAAGTAACCCGCAGCGCGCGCCGATTCGATAACGCGAGGCAAGGGATCAATGACGTAATACCACAGGAAACCGGCAGCGCGATGCGATTCAATAACATAATATAGAAGCGTGCGCATTCGTTCTTTTCTTTCTCTCAAGCAATAGTTGGGTAGCCTATGGAGGGCACGGGAAAATCTGTCTTATGATAGGCAGACCTGAGTCAGTAGCAGTTGTATAATCCTACAACTTTTTTCAAAATTGTGTCACACACCGTCTACTGGTCTACGATTGTGTTACTGCAACCTCTCCACCCTTTTTGCAATGTTGTTTTGCCAAGGAATTGGTACTCGAAATCGCCAAGGATGAGGAAAGGAGTGTGCGTGCAATCTTGCAGTGGGAAAAGGGGGTGGAAGGGTTTTCCATGTATTCTGCAGAAGGTATTGTAGTTTATATCCACGATGCACGTGTCTTTATGCTAGGTGGTCCCCTAAGTACGCTCTCATTGCATTGTTTTCTTTTGTGTCTATCTTAATCTCGCACTAAAACRTTCAAGTTGTTTTTCCCCGGTTTGAGGACCTCACTCTAGTATCTTTTCACGCTCTTAGTGTTTACGAAGAGACAAGTGTATAAGTATAATATCTATTTCACGGTTACTGGTTCACGTGAGTTYTCTATTCATTTCAGCGACCACTGTCGCATCAACACAAGCTACAACAGGACCAACACCAACGACTTTGAAGAATAAAACATCAGCAGCAAGGTTTAATAATCAACTGATRATGATAACATAATGAAATACTCGTGCATCGCATGATATATCTCAATAATTTCATTAAATTTAACTAAGTTGCATATAAAAACACGCTATGAGAAACATTGCTATTATTTATCTCATTTTCACAGCCAATGCGTCCCAGTACCGGGCCCAKCAGCTCACCGATGTCATCGCTATTACAACCATAGTGTCGGCATATGTAACAGTTCTATTTCTGCYGACGGCTGGATCTTCGCAAACAGAAAACAACAGATAGAGTACGAAAAGCGAATGAGAACCGTTAGAATAAAGAGAGCATTCTTCGTTAGCATGAACATGCCGGACCCTTCAGTGTTGCTACGMAACCGTTGCTTTCAAATCGTCCATGACATGTATTGTCATCACTACTTCCCACGCTGTGACATGACGTCAAACTACACTCAGCCCCAGCCTATTTGCAAGTAAGTCAGGAAGAAGAAGACTGGTATGAATAGACGATATTCGAGATGCGCCTGTGGACGCTTTGAAGAATATCTCTTGCGCGCGCCAAAGTATTGACGGACAAATAAATAATGTCAATAACTTGGCAAGTTCAAACTCGAGCCCAGAGTCTTCGCGACTAAACGTCAGCGGTATGAACGCTCCAGTAGCCATATATGGTATTATGTAGATGAGAAACAATTAATAGCATACAGTAGGGTTTAAAGTAATTGGCAAGCTCGGTTTCTTTGAGATTGCAACATAACATTTGGTTATTCGTTGATACGAAGTTTAAAGAAGTATGAAATAGTTAAGTTAACAAATTGACACACACACGTCGCAAACTGTAAACTTTCCTCTTCCAGAGAAGCATGCGTGATGCTTAACTTCAAATGTAAGTCAGAATGGATTACTCTCATGAAGRACTACCCTGGGGTCACGTGGTCAGCACAGGACGACATTGGCGAGACGATGGATCAACATGAGGCATTCTCATTGTACATCGCTAAGAATATCCTAATGAAATGCGATGGACTACCGACCATGAACGGACCAGATGTACCTGAATGCTACATAGCACCTGAACTATTACGTGAGTAAAACACTAAAAGTGCGGTGTAGGGATGGTGATGGGTGTGGGATATAGTAGAAAAGGGATTGCTATCCAGGCGGAGTTGTGGGGGAGGTGCGTGGGGAGATTTGTTAAAGGGCTCAAAAATATAGAAATATTGATACAAATATTATTAGACAAAAAAGAATAACTGAATGGGGCTCATTGTGAAAGCAACTAAAGCAGTGTTTATCTGAAAGCTTATGAAAGAAGTCTAGTCCATTGTTTGATCTACCAATTTTTTTCTCTTAAGTTAGCCACCCCGTTTTGTAATATTCTGGATCCGCCACCACAACTTCAATACTCTGATCGCAGTCTAGATCGAGGCCCTACTAAGTGACCTACATGTTGTAAGGTTTATAGACAGGAAGCTCGGTTCGTGCAAATGTTCAACCTTGTAAAGACAGGAAGCCCAATGATAAAAAGTCATGTTGAGTGACAATCTTCTTTGCATTGTAGATGATAAAACAGCTATCGAGATAATGAATGGTAAGTGACAGTCCGCAAACTACTAATGATTACATCAACGTTAATGCACCAATCAAATCACTTCGTAGGTTCCTCATATGATTGTTTCTATGGCAATGGTTACGCCTACCGGGGCAATRTATCGGTTACGAAGTCTGGGTACGAGTGTCAATCATGGTCCGACCAATGTCCTCACAATCACTCCCGAACTCCAGACAACTATCAAGAACTGACTGGAGCGGGCAATGCATGCCGGAACCCTGGTCACCAGGCCCCGCGCGGTCCTTGGTGCTATACDACTAATCCTGATGTTAGATGGGAGTATTGTAATATCACTCGATGTCCATACGGTAAGAATAAACGTAGTTAGAGATGGTTAATATTTGTAGTTATTTGAGCAGTTCTTTTCCTAGTTGATGGGTCATTTGAAAAAATTGTTTTTTTAACCCCCTCTCTCGCTAAAAAAATGAACAGCCCCTTACAAAAACCGATCTAATACTCTCCCCTTTACCAGACGTATCACAAGGCTTACTACTCTGAGCGATGCACAGAAATACAACCACACGCTAAACGCCCAGGGAAAAGTACAAGTACGATCTCCTGGAGCACAAAACTAAGTATTAGTTACAGGTAATTCGAGTATTACTCTAGTGATGAGAGAGGGGTCAACGCCCTGTCAATGTGTCTAAGTAAATTGCTGACCACGCCTAAAATGTGCATTGATACCCATGTAGAACTTCTAACCTGTTGTAAACAAGCTTGAGAAATAAAAAACAGATACTCTGTCATTGTTGTTATTATTATTATCATT